AGGCCATGATGTGCGCCCCCACCCCCTCTTGGACGCCCCCGTCTTGGCCGCCCCCGACAAGAGGTCATGATACGAGTCTCTCGGGAGGAAGCTCGGATGTAGCCACGACCCCAGGTAAGGTGAGCCAGTTAGTGATCGGGCCCCGACGCCCCAAACATGGACCCGCATCAATACAACAAGTCTGCCGTAGTTGCTGTTTCTTCGTGAGGCGGCATTTCCGGTTAGTGGAATGGGGCGGGGGGGGCGTCCCCCGGTACACATCATCAAACCAAGTCCCGCTAAACCCAGTCCCTCCAACGCCCGAGAAACATGGGGACCTTGGCCAAGATCTCGCGAGATCTTGCCGTTTACAATCTTGGTCATGGTCCATGTCGGCCGTCGCTGACTTGTAAGGATGATGCCCGAAATGGCGCTGCGCAAGATCGAAGGCAATTAGCCAATTTGGAAACAATTTTTCCGTGTTCAGTCTCAGTCATGGTCCCCGTTCTTTTTTCTGCCAGGTTGGAGGTTTTCGGGCGTCTTTGGCCGTTCTCCGCGGTTTTCCAGCCTCGGAGTGTCTCCCAGCGGCTGCACCTCGCCGAGAGCGTTCCGGGGGTGCCCAGATCGTCTCGAATGGCCGCCCAAGAGTCGAGTTACACCCGAACGCCGTTCGGATCTCCTAATGTTTGTTTCTTGGACATTCCAGATTCCCAAATGTTCCGCACGGGCTCCAGAAGCGAGGGTCGATAGACATTCCCTGGAAATCCTGGAACGTATCCTGAACCAGCCCCTATCATGACATCGTTCTCATCCTGCTGCGGCAAATACAGCGCAGATGCCTGTGCATTGAATATCTGCTCCCAGGGCTGTTCACCCAATGTCTGCCCCCACGCTTGTAACAGATGTAACAGGTGGGTGGTGTTCCACTCATGCTCTCCGATCCCATCTTCTTATTCGAACGAGCATTGTTCACCTCCCAGAGAGGGACCTTTGCCAGAGTGACCTCTCTTCCTCCTCTTCGTATGCATGCTGTCCCGTATGCGTTGGAGTTTGGCAAGCTGCTTCTGGAGTGTAGGTATGTTTCCAAGTTGTGTAGGTTCTTGCCTTTCGTCGTCGTCATCGTCGTCGGTTTCTCCCCTCCGCGAGCTATCACGCTCATGAATCACAGGGATCCACAAGTGTATCCTGGGCTCCGGCCCAACCGTCGTGCTCTCGTATCTAGGCCTGCCAGACGGGGTCCCAGTAGACGGGGTTGGAGTCTGGCGCAGCATCGCCGATGCATCGGCGATGCAGCTCGATGTGGAGCCAAATTTTCTCCACGCCGACGTCGCTGCTGCATCGCCGACATCACCAATGCATCCCCGATGCATCTGCGATGCAGCGGCGATGCGGCACGATTCTCCGACCCAGTATACTCGCACAGAATTTGGGAGGCCGCCAACATGGGGCCGTCCTTCCGAACGTATGTCGGCGCTTCGCCTCGCCTCGCCTCACCCTCGTCGCGCGCACGGGGCCCACGCGCGCGCCCACCGCACCCTGGGGCCTCCAGATGGCGGAAGGGGGTGCGACGGCAGCGGCGTGTGCGCTCGGGTTCGGCCTCCCCGCGGCCCCCGAAAGTCGCGCACCAAGGGTCGCTCCGGTGACTCTCTGCGTGCAGCCGAGGGCAAAGAAGAAGAAGACGCCGTGTGACCAGCAGGCACACGGGCAATGAGGCCACGGTACGGACGGCGGGCGCTCGGCCGCCCGCCGCCTGCCACACGGCCTTCTGATTCCTAGCGTTACGGCCGGCAACAGTGAATGACTTGGAGAGGGAGGAGGAGGGAGGAGGAGGAGGAGGAGGAGGAGGAGGAGGAATAAGAAGGAGAAGCGAGGAGGAGAAGGAGGGGGAGGGGTGGAGAGGACTCAACGAACGGTGTAGCTCACGGAGGCTTATGTTTTTTTTTTTAATGCAGTTTGTTCTTCTATGGGTGGAGCGTCGCCCCAGACGGCTGAATGCGAAGCGATGGCAGCGACTTCCGCGCTCGGGCTTGCCCCCCCCCGCGCGGCGCGGGTCGCGAGCTTTTTGCCAGCTTCCGCTCATGGATCGTTCGGTAGCAAATCATGGGAGCCTGGCGTACCCTTTGAATTCCGTCTTTAGCGTCGATTAGCGTCGATTCGCGTTTGGGAGTCGATGAGATAGCGCCGATTCAGCGTCGATTAGCGTCGATTTAGCGTAGTTTAGCGTCGAATTAGCGTCGATCAGCGTCGATTCGCAACAGCCGACAAGATGGTATGGGAGGCACCCAGGAGGTGCCACTGAAGTCGTGGTGGACGCATCTCCGAGGCCAAGCAGTTGCTGCCTGAGTTTCGGCTGCCTCGCTTTCAAGAGTGGTCTTCGCGTCCGCCGTTGGCTTAGCATCGCTTGGACGTGTGCATTTGTTCTCGGCGAGGACCATCGAGGACCATCCGGAGCCATCTTGCGACAGATACACGCGCGAAACCAAAAAACGCACGCGGACTGGAAGTCCGAGCGATGGCGAGTTGGTGAAAGGTCCAGTCTCAGATCTCAGGGGTGCAGACTTCATATCGCTCCCGCCCCCAAAACACCTCCCCCGCGCGACGACGACGTCGACGAAGACGATGGTCGACGAACGACAACGACGTCCGACCGACCACAAACGACGGCAACGACGTGAAAGACTGCGATCGACCACGGCCGACGACCCAGACCCCCGACGCCATGGTTGTTCCACACCCATGGGCCCCCAGAAGCCTCTGCCCACTCCCCCGGACGGGCTTCTCATCCCCAATCGATTTCCGACGTCCCCGCGGCCGCGAGGACCCCCAGATGCCGAAACTAGCCAAGCATCCCTCCCGTCGTGATTTGTTCGGGACGCAAGGTTGTCTGGGGCTTAGATGATGTTGATTTTTGTTGGGCCTTTCCAAGGTCGACGTTTCCTTTCCTGTTTGGACGCCGTTTTTATTCCCTACCTAGGCTCTGCCTAGAAGGGTTCTTACTCGGTGTGCTTAAAGGGCCGGGCAGTGGAACGCGCCCCGGGCGGTTCCCCCAGTATCCGCCCCGCGGTTCCCCCAGTTACGTCCCCTTAGCTTAGCGGTGCGTATCTCATCTTAGCTTAGCTTATTTCATCTTAGCTTAGCTTAGTTCCATCTTAGCTCAGGTTTATCTTAGCTAGCTTACCTTCATCTTAGCTTCGTTGAGCTTTAGCATAGCAGAGCACAGCATAGCATAGCATAGCGTAGCACGGCCAACCGCGTTGCCAGTTTAGTTGTTTGTTCGGGTAATTAGCATGGGTGTAATTCCCTACCTAGGCTCTGCCTAGAGGGTTAGCTTAGTTGAGCTTAGCTTAGCTTAGCATAGCGCAGCGCTGCATTAACATAGCGTAGCATAGCAGAGCGTAACATAGCCAGGCATAGCATAGCATAGCATAGCATAGCATAGCGCAGCATAACATAGCATAGCATAGCGTAGCACAGCGCAGCTTAGCATACCATAGCATAGCATATCATAGCTTAGCATAGCACAGCGCAGCGTGACATAGCATAGCTTAGCATAGTATAGCATAGCATAGCATAGCAACTAATGCTGCTTTCCTAGGGGCTCCAACTTCTAGGTAGGGTCGCACTGGGGTAATTTCGCGGTTCCGGGAGTGGCCCGTGGCCAACCTGCTCGTTTTATGGCCGTTTTCATATGCTTCTGGGTCTCAGGCTGCCGCCTGCCTGAAGCTCACATTCTCCAGGGTGTCGTTTGTCGAGCGTGTTGGTCGAGTCAAGAGCGAAACGTAGAACATCTGTCGCAAAAATGCCCCCAGCGCGTTTTTAAGACCAACCGAGGTCTGGGGACGATCGACGAGCAACATCGCAAAGCATCACGACCAGAGCCCCAGACTCCATCTCTCTGCGGCGCTTTTCTGGCCAGACCGATCTGTGAGGGCCCCTGGGACCGAAGGCGGTCGAAAATGCCCAGTGCGAACCAAAATCAAGGCCTGGATCTGAGGAGCCGGGGAGATGTCCACCATACCATGTCATGTTTGTCCCCCCCCCTCTCAGTGGCAAGCGGCGGCCCGACCACGGTGTATACCCTGTTTTCGGCACCTGTCGTCCAGAGAACGGGCCCAACAATAGTGCACTGCACGTTGTCCGGTAGCGCGCCTGCGAAGCCCCATGGGACAGGGCCCAGATACGGTCGGACCGAGGTATAAAATCGAGGTCGGTTCGGGGAGGGTGCCCTAATGTTCTTCGTGTTTGACGTAGACGCATGAATCTCCAGCAACGTGGCGACGTGACGCCGTGACGCCCAACTGCTCGTGCAGTTTCTGCTTCACAGTCGTGATGCGCCCTACTCTTCTCCGCCCACGCGCCAATGGGCGTATGGCTCGTTGACTTGGCCTGAAGGTCCTTGTGCATCCAGGGGGAGGGCAGTCACCCTCGAATGTTCTCCAGTTTGGCCGGCGGAGGGTCTCATGTTCTTGACTGGGCGTCGCGCGTCATGGGGGGGGGGGGGGGGGGGGGCGATACAGGGGGGGGGCAGCGAGGGCTGCAGAAAAGGGGCCCTTCAGGGCCCCTAAAAAGAAGCCCTCAGGGCCCCAAAGGGGGCTTGTAGGGCACGAGAAGTGCACCTTTCTGGCCCCATTGTATCGCCCCCAGTTATCAAGGGAGGAAAATCCACCCGGACCCGATAATTGGCGTTTCAAACGGCCTCGGGCGTTTATTAAACAGCCCTGCCCTGTTCGATTCCTTCCTTGGGTGCCTTAACTAAACGGTTTCGCGTGCTGCGGTGATTATCATGAGGGTGGATGTTCTTCCCTTGAATTATTCCACACCCGACTTGAAGGATATTGTTTTAGTCGGGCATGTCCTTCTACAGAAGGAAACTTAAAACATAGTCAAAACATAGTCAGGGGACGATGTCTCGACACTTTTTGCCTATTTTTGCTTTTTTTCTGACTGTGGTTACTGCTTCCTACAAAATCCGCGTCCGACTGTGCCTGCCAAGGGGCGACGACGGCGCAACCGCCCGCGAGGCGCCGGCGCCCGCTCCGCCGCCGGCGCCGCCCCCGCAGCACTCCTTCGGCCCGCCGCTGGCCCTCGGGGCGCTGCCGGTGCTGCAGGCCGGGGCCCGGCGCGGCCGCGCTGCGCGCCTCCTGCGTGTTGTGCGCTGCACCTTTAGCAACTTCCTCCTCCCTCCTCCTCCTCCTCCTCCCTCCTCCTCTTCCTCCTCCTCCTCCTCCTCCTCCTCCTCCTCCTCCTCCTCCTCCTCTTCCTCTTCCCTCTCCTCCTCCTCGTCATCTTCCCTCTCCTCCTCTTCGTCATCTTCCCTCTCTCCTCTCTTCCTCCTCCTCCTCCTCCTCCTCCTCTTCCCTCTCCTCCTCCTCGTCCTCTTTCCTCTCCTCCTCGTCGTCGTCTTCTCCTCCTCCTCCTCGATCCTCCTCCTCCTCGTCCTCCTCGATCCTCCTCCTCCCTTCCGCCTCCTCCTCCTCCTCCTCCTCCTCCTCCTCCCTCCTCCTCTCCTCCTCCTCCTCGTCCGCCTCCTCCTCCTCCTCCTCCTCCTCCTCCTCCTCCTCCTCTTCCCTCTCGTCCTCCCTCTCCGCCTCCCTTTCCTCCTCTTCCTCCTCCTCCCCGCACCAAGGGAGGTTGTTTTTTCTTTTTCTAGATAGGTCGGAAGTTGCTAAAGGTGCTTCTGGCCCAGGGTACATTTCAGCTTTCCACTCCGTCCTGGAGTCCCTATGAGGCCACCTGGGCCTCGTGAGAGGCGCTCTGGAGGCCTTTTTGGTGGCCTCCTTGAAAATCCTGGGGGCACCTTGGGCCCGGAGCACTTCTGGCAACACCCGAATGTGGGGGGATGGGAATAAGCGGATGCATCGACCCCAAATCGCCCATTGATCGCCGAGAGGGGCCCCCGCCCAGGAACGTGCGGATTCGCTGTCGGGGGTTTATCGTCGATCTATCGACGATGTATCGCCGATTCCAGGGCGATGTTTCCCCCCCCTTTGCCGGTCCCCCCCTATCGTTGCCCCTCAAGAAGTCGGTACGATCGAAATGTGTACGGCGAGAAGGGGTACGAAGACCAGCAGGGTTTCCTGCCGATTTTGAACAGGACATGCTGTCGGTGTCGCCGTGGATCCGCCGCACACTGGGGAAACCAAAATCGAATGAGACAAGACTGAACGAACACAAACTTTCGGTGCTCTGGGCGGATTATTGTATTGGCGCTAGGCCCCCCTCGGCGGCGCCTCCAGCGCCAATCCAAAGAATCCGCTCGGACCTCCAAAAGTTTACGTTGCTATTGCGTTGTTCTTCTAGTAGGTTCTTCTACATGAGATGTCCGTACCGCTACTCCCCAAACACCTCCCGGGATCCGCTCTGGCCAGAATCTCGATGCGAATCCAGCCATGGGGAAGGGCTCCCCCCCACAGGAGGCCCAAAGAGGCGAAAACGAGAGGGGGCCTCCTTGTTTGCAATTCTAGGGCTCACGCTAACGCAGCCCCTGACTCGAGCCGTTCTGGCGCGGCGCATGGCCGGGCAGAGATCACGGGCGTGTGTTTGGCACCTGTCTAGCGTGTGTCTGGCACGTGTCTGGCGTGTGCCTGGCGTGTGTCTGGCGCGTAGTCTGGCGTGGCGTGCGTCTGGCGTGTGTCTGGCGTGTGTCTTGCGAGTGTCTGGCGTGTGACTGGATTGTTTCTGGCGTGTGTCTGGCGTGTGTCTGGCGTGTGTTTGGCAAGTGTCTGCCGTGTGACGGGCGTGTGTATGGCGTGTGTCCGGCGTGTGTCTGGCGAGTGTCTGGCGTGTGTCTGGCCTCCTCCTCTTCCTCCTCCTCCTCCTCCGCCTCATTTTGCTCCTCCTTCTCCTCCTCCTCTGCCTCCTCCTCCTCGTCCTCCTCCTCCTCCTGCTCCTCTGCCTCCTCCTCCTGCTCCTCTGCCTCCTCCTCCTCCTTCTCTGCCTCCTCTTCCTCTTTCCCCTCCTCCTCCTCCGCCTCCTCCTCCTTTGCCTCCTCCTCCGCCTCCTCCTCCGCCTCCTCCTCCTCCTCTGCCGCCTCCTCCTCCCTCCTCCTCCTCCTCCTCCTCCTCCTCTCCTCCTCCTCATCATCATCATCATCTCATCATCATCATCATCATCCTCTTTCTCCTCTGCCGCCCCTCCTCCTCCTCCTCCTCTGCTCCTCCTCCTCCCCCTCCTCCTCCTCCTCCTCTCCTCCTCCTCATCCTCTGCCTCCTCCTCCTCCGCCTCCACCTACTTCTCCTCCTCCTCCTCCTCCCCCCTCCTCCTCCTCCTCCTCTCCTCATCCTCCTCCTCCTCCTCTTCCTCCTCCTCCTCCTCCTCCTCCTCTTCCTTCTCCTCCTCCTCCGCCTCCTCCTCCTCCTCTTCTCTCCTCTTCTCTTCTCTTCTCTTCTCTTCTCTTCTGTTCTCTCCTCCTCCTCCTCCTCTTCCTCGGCGTGCACACTCCGCGGACATGGACGTGGCTCTGCTCGTCGCCTGTGGCCCGCCATCTCTCCGCACCCCGCCGGCCGCGCACCGCCGAGGGCGCCACGCTGCCCGCCGGTCTCGCCGCGCCACCGCCGGCGCCGGCGCCCCCGCCTGCGCCGCAGAGCTTCGACTTTCCGCCGCAGGAGTCGGCACCCCACGTCGACGACGTCGAGGACGAGGACGTCGACGAGGACGAGAACGTCGACGATCGAAGAAGAAACAACCGCATAAAGGTAAACTTTTGGCGCTCCGCGCGGATTTCCCGAATCCGCGCTGGGGCCCCCCCGACGGCGCCTCCGGCGCCGCCCCTGGCGCACTCCGCGCGCCAGGGGGGGGGGGGTCTGGCGCAGATCCCAGGAATCCGCGTGGAGCGCCAACAGTTTATATTTATAGCGTGTTCTGGTTCTTCTTATTCTTCTTGTAGAGTCGGCACCTCCACGTCGACGACGACGAGGACGAGTACGTCGACGAGCGACGACGACGCGGAGGGGTGGGTCGCGGGGGCGACGTCCTCGTCGTCGTCGTCGTCGGTGTCGTCAACGTCCTCATCCTCGTCGACGTCCTCGTCGCAGGAGTCCGACTTTCTGCCGCAGAATGCCTTTTCCTGGCGACAACTCGAGTCTAATTGTGCCACTTCGCTGCGGACTGGAAGTACCTCCACTTCCAATGTGTCTTTACAGCAAGCGGCAAACACTGTGGATTCTCGGTTGGGTTGAAAATTGAGTGGTGCCTTTGAGCGCCCAGCGGAAATTATGAGCGAACCGGCTACACGCATGGTAGTAATGGTGAACCCGCTGACCTACCCCAAATACCTACCCGCGTTTTCGGAAGGCTTTTGTCGAAGAGGATCAATCAGACATACGCGCAGGGAGGTAGGGGGAGGTGGGAAAGGCTTCTTAGCAGCAGCCTCCTTCCAAGAAGCCTTCCCCCCTCCCCTTCCCACCCTCTGCGCGCCGCACCCCCCGACAAAAAACACAAACGAAGATTTTCTGAGCTCCGCACGGGTCTCTTGGGTCCGCGCCGGGCCCCCCCCCCGGCGGTGCCTCTGTGCCGCCAGCCCTCCCGGCGCCGATCCGAGAGATCTGCGCGGAGAGCTCCAAAAAATATGGTTGATGCAGGTGTTTGTTTGTTCCTCCAGGCTTCGGCCACGCGCAAAGGGGGAGGAGGAGGAAGAGGAGGAGGAGGAGGAGGAGGAGGAGGAGGAGGAGGAGGGGTCGGTCACGCGCAGAGGGGGGCAGGGGGCGGGGGGAAGGCTTCTTAGAGGCGCCCCTGCTGCTTAGAAGGCGCGGGCCTTGTTTACAGATGTGAGGCCCGCGCCTTCTACTTATGCAGGCCGAAAGATTTTCCTCTTGAGCCCCACATGTCGGAAGCGACGCGCCGATCCCCTCCGTTTTCCTCCCACCTCCTCTTGCCTCTTCCCTCATCCTTCCCCTCTTCATCCTGGGAAGACCCCCCTCCCCCGTAGAATCATAGCATTGGTCTGCAGATCCACAGCTCCGTGGATAGCATGATGCTTCACTTGCGGTGCTCCGCGGATCCCATTTCCACTGGGTCCCGGATGTTAATTATTATGTATGTAATCCCGGGGAATAGATGGATCCATCGTTTTTCTCTCACACACAGGAAATTGGATTCGCGCAGCACAGAAATAGGATCCACGAAACTCTCCCACACCCGAACAGGGATCCAATTGGAGCCATTGATGTTCTCGTATTTCTCGTCCAAGAGGAAAAAACTTTCCGCCTGGGGATGTAAGAGGCAGCATCCTTCTTATAAGCTTTCCCCCCTCCCCTTACCCCCTTGTGCGCGCTGCCAATGACCACACGCGGTTTCGGAGGGTTTTGTAGGCTTTCAGAGGCTATCCCTCCATATGAGCGCCATGTTATCTCCCCTGACCCCAGTGGCCAGCGATACGAGACACAGATCACCCCACAGCAGAAAGAGAGCTGGCGGAGGCAGGGAGCAGGAGCCAGGGAAATAATAGATACGGTCAACCCGCATAACAAGGATGGGTAACCTTCCCAAAGGTACCCTTGCATCCTTGCCTCCTCGGTCCATCCTTGGCCACTTTCGTTGGACGCGCCCCGCTCGAAAAGTTTCGGAATGGGCGCCCAATACTCTTGCATCCTTATCGCGCATTCTGATGATACGGGCCGGTGATAATTCAAATCGTTCAAGCAATCGGAAAATGGTGTCCTCTGAGGTTCTCGCGACCCTGGATGGGTTGCACTACTTGCTCTTCGTCGGGAGCGCCCCCTGGGAGTGCCAGAACCGTCCGAGCTGGCCGCCCTAGGCCCGAGCTGTATGGTCCGAAAGCCAACAAGGGGGCCTGGGCTCCGGCCACGGCGACGCTGTCCCTCCGTTTCGTCCTCGCGCCTCTTCCTCCTCCTCCTCGTCCTCTTCGTCCTCCTCCTCCTCCACCTGGGACCTCTCGAGGGGGGGGGAAAGAAACAAAAATACATAACAAACGCCGTAAACCTACACTTTTATCGCGCCCCGCGTGGATTTTCTGGATCCGCGCAGGGGCCCCGCCCGACGGCGCCTCCGGCGCCGCCCCTGGCGCGCTCCGCGCGCCAGGGGGGGGGGGGGTCCAGCGCGGATCCAAGAAATCCACGCGGAGCGCCATCAGTTTATGTTTATGGCGATGTTTCTGCTTCAACGTCCGCGCGCGTCCTCCTCCTCGTGCTCATCCGCCTCCTCTTGCTCCTCCTAGATCCTCCTGCATCGGGAGGCAGGGTGCCCTCCTGTCGCCGATGGCTCGGGGCAATCGTGGTGGAGAGATCGTTTGCACGACTTGGCAGGGGCTCCCAAAAACCATGGGACCTTCGGCAGGGGCGTCCAGGAGCCCCAGAGGCCCGGGATTCCGGAAGGTCCGGGCCAAGGGGGGGGAACCCACCCCCCAAACTGCACGCATATATACATATAACGGCGCACCGGGTCCGGGGGCCCGGGGCCGGGACCCCGACCACAAATGTGCGCCCCGGGGGGCCCGGAGGCTCGTCGGACCGCCGGACGCCGTCCAAGATCGTTCGCAGGCGGCTTCGGAACGCGCTCCGATGGCTCCAGATGCCTTCCAAGACGCCTGTCATGACACCAAGAAGGTCCCAGAAGCCTCCAAGACGCTCCGAGAGGCAGCCCAAGAGAGGCCCAAGAAGCAAAAATCGTGCCATTCCTATGGGAAAACGTATATTTTTCGCATGTTCGCCTCTTGGGCTTTCACCGCGTCCAAGACGGCCCAAGAGGCGCCCAAGACGGTCTACGAGGCCTCCGGGAGCGCTCCAAGGCTGCGCACGAGTGGCCCAGGACGGCCCCAAGACGGCCGAAGAGAGCCCCAAGACGAGTTCGAGAGGGGTCCCAGACGGAGAAAGCCAACCTCGAATTCCGAGCTTCCGGCCCAAGAGGCTCCAGGAGGCGCCAAAATGCCGCCAAGAGGCGCCAAAAGGCTCCCAAAAGCACCCCAAGACGTTCCGAGAGGCACCCCAAGAGAGGTCCAAGAAACAAAAATCGTGCCATTCCTATGGGAAAACGTATATTTTTCGCATGTTCGCATCTTGGGCTTTCACCGCGTCCAAGACGGCCCAAGAGGCCTCCAAGACGGCCTAGGAGGCCTCCGGGAGCGCTCCAAGGCTGCGCACGAGTGGCTCAGGACGGCCCCAAGACGGCCCAAGAGAACCCCAAGACGACTTCGAGAGGGGTCCCAGAAGGAGAAAGCCACTCTCGAATTCCGAGCTTCCGGCCCAACATATCCCAGGAGGCGCCAAAACGCCGCCCAGAGGCGCCAAAAGGCTTCCAAAATCAGCCCAAGACGTTCCGAGAGGCACCCCAAGAGAGGTCCAAGAAACAAAAATCGTGCAATTCCTATGGGAAAACGTATATTTTTCGCATGTTCGCATCTTGGGCTTTCACCGCGTCCAAGACGGCCCAAGAGGCCTCCAAGACCGCCCCAAGACGGCCCAAGAAGCTTCCAAGAGGGCCCCAGGACAGCCCAAGAGGGCCCCAAGACGGCCCAAGAGGCGCCCAAGATGGCCCAAGAGGGCCCCAAGACGGGCCCAAGAGGGGGCCCAGAGGGGGACCACGAACCGCAAGCTCGAGCCTTCCGCCCCAAGAGGCCGCCAGGAGGCCCCAAGGAGGCCCCTCAAGAGGCCCCAGGAGACCCCCAAGAGGCCCAAAGGAGGCCCCGAGAAGCCCCAAATCGGCCCCCAAAATGCTTCGAACCTGCTTCCAGGAGGCCCCCGACAGGTTCAGAGGCTCCCGAGAAGCTACGTCAAACTCCCAGCGAGCGGCCGGACGAGGCCCCCCACAAAATCACAAGAGGGTTCCAGTATTTGTATCCTTCAGCGCTCTCTGGCCTTCTTCCCCCTGCCCCCTTCCCTGCGACTTTCGTTGACTCAAGCTCGCCTCCTAGCTAGAACCTAAGCGCGCGCGAAGCGCGCGCGTGGTTCTAGTATACATATATTTCAAGATGACAAAACGGAATACATACATATATGTATATATGTGTGTGTATGCATATGTGTGTGTGAACTTATACACATAAGTATACACATACATACATAAATACATACATACGTACATACATACATACATACATACATATGTTGGGCCGGCGAATTTGTGTTTTTTCAAGGCCGCTCCTTGCCCAGGGCCCAAAATTCCGCAGGCGCGCTTCTTCAAAATACGTGGTCCCCCGACTTTTCGGCACCCTCCCAAGGACGATGTCGTTCGTCCCGGTTCGCCTCTTGTGGGACGGGGTTAGGACAAAGATAGATCCCCAGGGCCCCAATTGGACGTTCCCCCCTGGACGTGTTATTGGACAGCATGAGGTTGGAATTCTGAATTCAAGGGGACAGTTGTTGAAATAATTGGCAACAGACCAACGCTTCAGGGTCGCGAGCGCATTTTTCTACAAACAACTCGATTGCATGTACGCGTACACTTCGCCGAAAAAACGACACCATATTGACTTCTTCTTAGTTGATGAGCGTTTGTGGCGCCACACGAAAGACTGCGAATCGACACCTGCATTAGATTTGGGATCTGACCATCGTGCGTTGCGCATGACTTGCACAGTACCCTCTCGACGGTCAGATGGTGACCACGAACAGCACGAGCAACGCCCAGACCGTAGACATGGCCGACGGCACCGACAGCAGCGACCACAATGGCCTCCACGGGATGTCCCTAAATACAAGCAGCGCCTTGATACTGCCATCAAGGATTCCCATCTGCTCAACTGCTCAACGCCCAGCTCCAACTACAGCGCGAACACATCGAACAGCTATTGATAGACACACTTACCCAACTCCAGCTTCCTCCGACCGATGGTCTCCCGACCGCTCGAACGACGATCGGAACGTTGACGCAGTCATTGCGGCAACACGCGCCAACTGCAGAAACCACAACGCGGAGCCACCTCAACAGGCGTATCCGCCGAGGGATCCGAGCGATCCCACGGGCCACCCGCCGAGGTGCAGTCGACCGCGTATGGACTGAATTCAAAGACTTGAAAGGAATCAGCGACATAAGAACATGCAAAGGCAGAGCACTCATCCCGAGCATGGGCGACAAGGATGGGCACGACCACTTCGACAATCCATAGCCAACGTATTCGCCACTATCTCCGAGCAGCTTTACGACGACATCCACAGATCTGCCGAGGATTTCCCAGACGCCACCAAAAGATCGCCGCGACAAACAATCCCAGCGTTCACAATTGAAGAGCTACACAAAGCCCTGCGGCAACTGAAAACAAACAAGGCGCCCGATTGCGCCGTGATAGCCGCAGAGATGCTGAAGTTTGGCTGTGAACCAATACACGCAGCACTATTGCTACAGATGAACAGCGTCCTACAACCAGGAGCGCCGACACCGAAAAGCTGGCAGCACACCGTGATCAAGGTTCTGCACAAAGGCGGAGACCCAAGACATGCGCACAACTACCGACCAATCGCTACCATTCCCATGCTCTACAAGCTGTTTTCAAGGTTGCTTTGCAATCGACTCTGCCCGCTCCTCGATGGCCAGCAGAGTTCGGACCAAGGAGGCTTCAGACATGGGCACAGGACCACGTATCACCTTTTCACAATGACCATCCTAATTACAAGAAGTTGCAGACGAATGGCGGATCCCGCTATACGTGGCGGCAGTCGGCTTCAAAAAAGCATTCGACAGCGCAACGCACAACAGCATGTGGGAAGCACTTACAGAGCAAGGCACACCACCAGCATACACGCAACAGCTGTCTTTTTTTTGTGGCTACCAAACAGCATCTTTGGTCAGGATCGACCGAAAGAGGCAGACGTTTGAACTTCGACGCGGGACAAAGCAAGGCGACCCATTGAGTTCACGGTTGCTCAACAGCGTTTCCGAGCACGTGATGCGACGGGCGAATCAAGCATGGACTTCGAACAGCATGGGGCTCTGCCTAGAGACCCACACCAACGACCGCCTCACAAATCTCCGGCTAGCTGACGACATTTTTCTTTTCGCCGGAACTCTTGACCGCGTCAAGAGCTAAGCGGGGAAGCAGAAACAAATTGTTTTTTTCCCTCCACCCGGACACGACGAATATCCTGCACGACGGACACAGGCCATCCAGAGCGCAACGATCGCCATCTCGCGTTCATGTCCATGGTAGGAGTTTAGAAGCTTGTTCCGCTTTGTCAGAGCACCACATACTTGGGAAGGAAAATGCAGTTTAACGTTTTTCATGCGACAGATACAGAGAATCGCATCGCCACGGCATGGCGTTGATTTCGTTCATTGAAGGTTGAGCTTACAAGCAACCACTATTCTCTCAACGGCCGGCGCAAGCTTTTCCACGGAACGATCACCCCGACGGTTCTCTATGGATGCGTGACCAACGCCACCTCATCGATGTAACGACGCCCCCCGACATTGACGCGGTTTTTGATGAGAGCGCCCACAGTGACACACAGAGCCACGACGCCCAAACCAACACTAGCGACGATGATGACACCACCCCGCCATCCTCTACGCCATGTGTCGTTCCCCAAGCAGAATTGGAAGAGTCCCGGGCGGACTGGGTCCGACGATCCACGCACGCCGCAGAGGAGAGCCTGAAGCGGCTCAAAATCGACGACTGGGCGACGTTAGTACGACGGCATAAATGGAGGTGGGTGCGGCTCCTGGCAACGACGGACGGAGACCGCCGAATGGGCAAAACTTGCTTTGCAGCGAACGCCAGAACATGACCTCAGGCCTATCGAAACCCGCCGAACAGGACGGCCCAAACAAAGATGGATACACGATGTTCGGCAATTCTTGTGTACGGCATGCAACGACGCAGCCGCGGCAACACGCTTATCGGGTTCTTATTGCATCACCATCATCTTTATCATCCGTCACACTTCCACAAGTACTTCGCATTGCTTCAACGAGTGCGTGGGGCTCTATCGAAGATGGCTTCGTGAGCCGACCTTAACCATGGCACGACTCCCGATTCCCTAGTTGGCGGCACGACTCCCGATCAGCTGGCTGACACGAATCTTGGAACCCCGACTCCAGCGGCAGTTTTTGTTTTTCCGACTCCGATTCCTACATTTTCGATTCCTCTTCCCAACGTTCCAACTCCAGCTTCCGTCTCTCCAACCCAGGGTCCGATTGCATTTCCCAATTTTCCGACTCCAGTTCCGATCCTATTTCTCCGATTCTGGCTCCGATGCCGGATCCCATCTCTCCGACTCTGCCTCCAACTCCGGCTCCGACTTTTGCTACCACTTCTGTTTTTTTCCAACCCCGGCTCCGGCCTTGGCTCCCAATTTCCGACTCCAGCTCCCAACCCATCTCTCCGACTCCGGCTCCAACGTTGGATCCCATTCTTCCGATCGCTCCGACTCTGGCTCCGACTCCTGGCTCCCGCTTTCTGACTCCAGCTCCCATCCCATCTCTCCGACTCTGGCTTCCATCTCTCCGACGCCGGCCCCGACTCCGGTTGTGGTGGCGCACGTCGTTTTCCTTTGATCTTCTCCCGGCGCCGGCGACGAAAAGCAATGAATCCATCCAGCGGGCGACAGGCCGTGTCCTCTTTTGGTGCCCAATTCTCCGACTGCGGCTTCGACACCCACTCCCATCTCCCCTTCCGGCTGCCATGTTCCGACCCCGTCTCCCAATGCCTTGTTCCAGATTCTGAGCGGTCAGCCTATACCGGCGCCCCGGCGCCCTCCCGCTGCGCCCTCGCAGGTGTCCCGCTGCGCCCTCGCAGGTGCTCGACGCGGGGTCTGTTTGTCTGTCTGACTGTTTGTTCCAAGCTTCCCCAAATCAGCCTTATCCTGCATGTGGACCTCATTGGGACCGCCTTTGGCCCTTCCTCCTGCTCCTCCTCGCCGGTCCTACTCCTCCTCCCCCTCCTCGTTCTTCTCGCCTCCCCTGTGAAAGGGGCGAGCCCGGTCCAAATCTGGTCAGCATCAGGCCCACATCGGACAGCGCCGAGGGCCCATTTACTCCCCAGGTGGACGCACCCCCCTGTTTTAGTGTTGGTGCCCATTTCCAAGCTTCCAGCCTTTCGGACGGTAAGACGAGGATCAATCCCTTCCAGAGCATTCAGAAGGCCGCGGCGCCCGAGTCATCTTCCAGATCCGCCAGACCTCAGGGATTATTCATCCTCGTCCCGGCTTCGCCTTAATTGCTCTGACAGTCCCAGAGCCCAGAAGCGGCTTGCAGGCGCCGAAAAAGTGACAGAGAAGTTGCCCGTTTCGATGTGCTACCCATCGAAGAAGAACATATTGCATAATCGCACATTTCCCTAGCTCCGCGCGGATTTCTTGGGGCGACCCTGGGTCCCCACTGGCGCGCTCCGCGCGCCAGTGAGACGGGTCCAGCGCAGATCCAAAAAAATCAGCGCGGAGCTCCAACAGTTGATGTTTACGTTGCTTCTCTCCTGCATCCAACCTAGCAGTTGGCAGAAGCATGCCACTTTCGCGCGCAGCCGGAGGAGAGCCACTTCGCGCCCCAGGGCTTCGACAACCTCGCGCCGCAGGTCTATGGGCTTCCCACACGGGGTTCCGGGCAGGTGGGGTCGGAGGACTGCACCGCATCGCGGATGCGTCGGCGAGGCGGCTCGATGTGGAGCCCGCTTTTCTCCACGACGGCGTTGATGCATCGATGCGGCGCCGATGCGTCGGCGACGAGTGCAGCGACGGGGCGCGATCCTCCGGCCCCAGACATGCGATGTCTCGTTTTTTTTTTGTCAACGCGCGGGCCCCCCGAAGTCCCCAGCCTCTCCCCGGTGCCGTTTTCCGTGCTGTTCTCCCTCGCGGGCCGCGCTCATGGGCGGTCGGGGCCCCTGGAGGGCCGACCACGTCCACACAAGCCTCCCGTCGGGGTTGTTGTTCTCGCGGCTCGAGCATGTCTGGAATCCCACGTGCTCGGGCCCCAGCTGTCAGGAGCGAAAAAAGGACGCACACGTATAGAATTTGAGCAGGGCCCCAGGGCGGAGGGTCAGAGATCGCCTTTCTCTGCAGGGCCGTCAAGGTTGTCGATTGCCTCGCCGGTCAAGCCAACGAAGATGTGCAACATCCGACCGTTCGCATGCCCAAAGTTTTGGTTTGACGCCGGGTGTGGTGCATCAGCTCCAGCTCGACCGAACAGGTTGGTTGCGCCCCTTAACGTCCGTTTGGGGTGTTCTGCAGACCTGACCCCCCAGCCCTGCTCAATATAGAATCCACTGATGTTTGGAGAGTGCAGTCGGACCGAAGTACAAGATCGAGGTCGGTTCGGGGAAAGTAGCCTAATTTTCTTCGTGCTTGTTGGATGTTCAGGTGCATCCTGGGGAGGGTATCCTCGAACGTACTTCAGTTTGGCTGGCGGAGAGTCTCATGTGGTTGTAAGATGTTCTTGGGTCTTAGGTCCGGCTGTACGCGCTGCGCGAACGTTCGTACCGCGATGGTGGTCTCGCGGACTTGGGGGCCGTATTACTGTTCACGGGTTGGCGCGTACGTCCTTTGTGGGCTCCCCACGTTGGGAGACCTCGCGCCGCAGGGCTTCGCGCCGCAGAGTTTCGACCTCGCGCCGCAGGGTTTCGCGCCGCAGGGCTTCGACCTCGCGCCGCAGGAGCCGCCGCCGCCGCCGCTGATTTCGCTGGCACGTTCCTCTCTCCTCCTGCCACTCGTCCCTCTCGATGGTCCGTAGGACGTGTGTTGGCCCAGGCGTGTATTTACTCCGTTCGTTTCCTCCGATAGCGCGCAGATCGTGTCGGCCGTCGTTGTGCCGCCCACGTCGTATTGAAGGGCCTCGGTGGACAAACACGTTGGCGCTAACACACGTTCTGAGGATCATCGACCCTCGCCTCCCTCCGTCGCCATGGCGGAAGCGGGTCATGAGGGAAACGGGTCACGAGGTTCTTCGCCTTCAATTGGCTTCCCGGGGCCCTCCATTGGCCCGGGACTGCCAGGAAACGATTCAGGATGAAGATCTGGCCTTGGGAGCAGGCACCAGGGTCCCAGACCCGTTTCCTCAATGTTAAGCTCTTCCTCGGCCTGGACCCGTAAGTGCCGCATTGCGCTGCGCGCGCTCGACCGCAGAGGTCAGTACCGCCGTAGGTTCGTGTCGTGTCGACGCGGCTGCGACCCGGGCGCGGACGTTCAAGGTTGAAGGCCGCTTGCGGCCCGGAATCGATCGATAGCGAACGATCTGCGCCATCGGTAGGCCTCGCGATCGCTCAACGTTGAAGGATGCGCGCGGTGTCGGAAACCGACGCCGAAACCGCCACGACACGCACCTGTCGCACATGGGCCCTTGCGAGACGCCCGCCCGAGATTCCCGACCAAGAGCCGTGCGAGGCCGCAGAAGCCCCTGAGCGCGCGACCTACGACCGCCAGCAGCCGCGCCCACACCTGGCCTCGCCGCACCGCCGCCGGCGCCGGACCCCCGGCGCCGCAGAGTTGCGACTTCACGCCGCAGGAGGGCCCACCGCCGCAGGGCTTCGGCTTCGCGCCGCAGGCTTTCGCGCCGCAGGGCTTCGACTTCGCGCCGCAGGAGCGCCGGCCGGCCGGCCGCCCTGGGGCCTTCCGCGGTCGCCGGGGATCCCCCGCGTGGGCGGCAGTCTTGCGTCGCGTCGCCGGTGTGCGCCCCTTCCTGCTCCTCCCACCCTTCCTGCTCCTCCGCCTCCTCCTGGTCCTCTTTCTGCTTCTCGTCTGTCTGTCTGCCTGTCGGTCGGTCGGTCTGTCCGTCTGTCTGTCCGTCCGTCTGTCTGTCTGTCTGTCTTTCTGCCTGTCTGTCTGCTGTCCTTTCTCTCCCTTCTTCCCCTCCCCGTTTGCACCCCCTTCTGCCTTCTCCTCCTCCGCCTCATCCTCCTCATCCTGCCTCCCCCCTTCTCCCGCCTCCTCCCTCCTGCTCCCTCGCCCCCCCTAGCTACCTCTAGATGATCTCCCGCTCTGTCGGCGCACACCGCAAGTGCCGGCCCTGCCGGCAAGTGCAGGACGGGGCACCGCAGCGGAGCGGGGCGGGAAGCACGGCGATGGGCGCACGGGCACGGGCGCGGCAGGCAAGGGCAGGCAAGGGCAGGCAGGCTGGGGCACTCCTCCTCCTCCTCCTCCTCCTCCTCCTCCTCCTCCTCTCCTTCCCCTTCCTCTTCCTCCTCCTCCTCCTCCTTCTCCCCCGTCTCCTCCGCCTCCTCCTCCTCCTCCTCCTCTTCCTCCTCACTATCCCCCTCCTCCCCCTCCTCCTCCTCCTCCACCTCTTCCTCCTCCTCCTCCACCTCTTCCTCCTCCTCCTCCTCCTCCTCCTCCTCCTTCCTCCTCCTGGCCCCAAAAGGCCCGACCCGGCCCCTCGAGACAGGATTTCCTTTGAAGTTTGATCTTGCTTGGAGTGGCGTGGCTCGAAAGAGGGGCCCAAGGTGGCCGCGAGGAGGGGAAAGAGCCTGCACAGTGAAGGTCGAGCCACCCGCACGCGCCGACAAGGTTCTCGGGTTGTTGTGGAGGCATCCACCGATCTGCGGACTCAAGAGCTGCAAGGGGCGGCGGCGGGGGACTCAGAAGCTGCAAGTTGCGGCGAAAGGCAGGCACAGAGTGTTTGATACCAGGAGGACAGCTCGTTTTGGTGTCCGACTTGCTGTGGGAGGACGGCCATGGCGCCATGTCGCTATTGTCGAGCATCTCGCTGCGGCCTCTTCGTCGAAGAAGGAGCAGATCTTCGACAAGACGGCTTGCTACGGCGCAGACCCTGAACCAGTGCCGCATTGCGCTGCGCGCGCTCGACCGCAGAGGTCAGTACCGCTGTAGGTTCGTGCCGTGTCGACGCGGCTGCGACCCGGGCGCGGACGTTCAAGGTTGAAGGCCGCTTGCGGCCCGGAATCGATCGATAGCGAACGATCTGCGCTATCGGTAGGCCTCGCGATCGCTCAACGTTGAAGGATGCGCGCGGTGTCGGAAACCGACGCCGAAACCGCCACGACACGCACCTGTCGCACATGGGCCCTTGCGAGACGCCCGCCCGAGATTCCCGACCAAGAGCCGTGCGAGGCCGCAGAAGCCCCTGATCTGGCGCACGACCTACGACCGCCAGCAGCCGCGCCCACACCTGGCCTCGCCGCACCGCCGCCGGCGCCGGACCCCCGGCGCCGCAGAGTTGCGACTTCACGCCGCAGGAGGGCCCACCGCCGCAGGGCTTCGGCTTCGCGCCGCAGGCTTTCGCGCCGCAGGGCTTCGACTTCGCGCCGCAGGAGCGCCGGCCGGCCGGCCGCCCTGGGGCCTTCCGCGGTCGCCGGGGATCCCCCGCGTGGGCGGCAGTCTTGCGTCGCGTCGCCGGTGTGCGCCCCTTCCTGCTCCTCCCACCCTTCCTGCTCCTCCGCCTCCTCCTGGTCCTCTTTCTGCTTCTCGTCTGTCTGTCTGCCTGTCGGTCGGTCGGTGTGCCTGGCTGCCTGTCTGTCTGTCTGCCTGCCTGTCTGTCTGTCTGTCTGCCTGTCTGTCTGTCTGTCTGTCTGTCTGTCTGTCTGTCTGTCTGTCTATCCGCCTTTCTGTCTGCCTGTCTGTCTGTCTGCCTGTCTCTCTCTCCCTCTGTATCGCTTCTTCGGCCTGCCTTCCTCCTCTATCATCGTCCTCCTCCTGCATCGTTCCTCCTCATCCGCCGCCTCCTCTCTCTCTCTCTCTTGTCCTTCCTTTCTCCCCCTACTCCCCCTCCTCATCTGCACGCCCTTCTGCCTCCTCCTCCTTCTCCTCCTCCTCCTCTTCCCCCTCTTCTCCGCCTCCTCCTCCGCCTCCGCCTCCGCCTCCGCCTCCGCCTCCTCCTCCTCCTCCTCCTCCTCCTCCTCCTCCTCCTCCTCCTATTCCTCCTCACTCTCCTCCCCTCCTCCTCCTCCTCCTCCTCCTCCTCCTCCTCCTCCTCCTCCTCCCTCCTCCTCCTCCTCCTCCTCCCCCTCCTCCTCCTCCTCCCCCTCCTCCTCCTCCTCCCCCTCCTCCTCCTCCTCATCCTCCTCCTCCTCCTCCTCCTTCCTCCTCCTTCTCCTCTTCCTCCCCCTCCTTCCCCCTTAGCATTGCGCTGCGCGCGCTCGACCGCAGAGGTCAGTACCGCCGTAGGTTCGTGTCGTGTCGACGCGGCTGCGACCCGGGCGCGGACGTTCAAGGTTGAAGGCCGCTTGCGGCCCGGAATCGATCGATAGCGAACGATCTGCGCTATCGGGAGGCCTCGCGATCGCTCAACGTTGAAGGATGCGCGCGGTGTCGGAAACCGACGCCGAAACCGCCACGACACGCATCTGTCGCACATGGGCCCTTGCGAGACGCCCGCCCGAAATTTCCGACCAAGAGCCGTGCGAGGCCGCATAAGCCCCTGATCTGGCGCGCGACCTACGACCGCCAGCAGCCGCGCCCACACCTGGCCTCGCCGCACCGCCGCCGGCGCCGGACCCCCGGCGCCGCAGAGTTGCGACTTCACGCCGCAGGAGGGCCCACCGCCGCAGGGCTTCGGCTTCGCGCCGCAGGCTTTCGCGCCGCAGGGCTTCGACTTCGCGCCGCAGGAGCGTCGGCCGGCCGGCCGCCCTGGGGCCTTCCGCGGTCGCCGGGGATCCCCCGCGTGGGCGGCAGTCTTGCGTCGCGTCGCCGGTGTGCGCCCCTTCCTGCTCCTCCCACCCTTCCTGCTCCTCCGCCTCCTCCTAGTCCTCCTTTTCTGCTTCTCGTCTGTCTGTCTGCCTGTCGGTCGGTCGGTGTGCCTGGCTGCCTGTCTGTCTGTCTGCCTGCCTGTCTGTCTGTCTGTCTGTCTGCCTGTCTGTCTGTCTTCTTCGGCCTCCCCCCGTCCTGCATCATCGTCATCCATCTTCTCCGGAATCCCCCCTTCCTCATTTCGTCACGTCTCCTCCGCCGTCTCCTCCTCTCTCTTTCGTCCTTCCCCTTCTCCCCCTCCTCCTCTGTACCCCCTTCTGTCTCCTCCTCCTCCGCATCCTGCCTCCTTCTCCCGCCTCCTCCTCCCCCCTCCTCTCCTCATGCCCCCTACTACCTCCACAGGGTCTCGTCGGAGGCGGCAAGAAGCCTGGGGGGGGCTTCCCCCTCCCCCTCCCACCCCGGCACAGCCACCCTGGCAGTTACACCCTCAGCAGAGCTTTGCCTGCGTCCGCCGACTGTTGTCGTCTGGCCACGGCTGCTTCCTCGTCCTCCGGTTCCTCCCCCCTTGGCTCCTGCCTCAGTCATTCCCCCCTTCCCCCCTCTTCCTGCCTTCTCCGCCTCATGTCTCCTCCACTCTGAAGTCGGGCCTGTCCCTCTACAGGAGGTATATTCAAAAATAGTCAACATGGAGCTCCCCATATGTGCATCCTTCTTTAAGTGGTAAGATTGTATTTGGGATATTAAAATCAGCTTCTAGCCACATGAGCCATATGAGCCACAGGCGGGAAAGTGAACCTTTTCAAGTTCCCTCTCCCGCAGCTAGAGAGTGAACCTTTTCAAGTTCCCTCCTCAGCCCAAAACACACGCGGGAGAATGGACCTTCTCGAGTTCCTTCTCCCGCTGACGACGACAAGATTGGAAAGCACCACGGAGAGAGAAAGCAACATCCCACGGTGACACAAGCTCTGCGTCAGCAACGCCTGGTCACTCCTCCTTGACCGCCGTACGCAACGGGGAGAGCCACTCGGGACAACGCAAAACCAGAAAACAGGCAAACCGCTAGCCTGTCCCTCTACAGGAGGAATATTCAAAAATAGTTGAAAAAATAGTCTGGGGACGATCTTTTTAAATTGTTTTGGCTATTTGGGGGTATTCTTGAGCCTGCGCAGTGCGTCGCTATACTGGATCCCCCAGCAGGCCTCGAAAGTGGCGACAATTTCGCAGATCGCAGCCCCCCAGGGATGACGAGGTCTAGTTTGAATCAGCTGGACCCCCCAGCTGCCGTCGAAAGTGGCGACAGTTTCGCACATCGCAGCCCCCCCGGGATGTCGAGGTCGAATATGAGTCTCGTTGGTGCCTCATTCAGTTGGTCCCCCAGCAGGCCTCGCAAGTGGCGCAAGTTCTCAGCCCCCAGGGATGTCGAGGTCGAATCTGAGTCTGGGTGGTGCCTCTTTTCGCTGGACCACCAAAAAGCTCCGAAGCTGGTGACACTTTCGCAGATCGCAGCCCCCCAGGGCTGGCGAGGTCTAGTCTAAATGTGGGTGGTGCGTCACTCCGGTGGATCCCCGGGCAGGCCTCGCAAGTGGCGACAGTTTCGCAGATCGCAGCCCCCAGGGCTGGCGAGGTCTAATCTAAGTATGGGTGGCGCCTGTTTCCGCTGACCCCCCAGCAGCCATCAAACGTATCGACAGTTTCGCATATCGCAGCCCCCCACAGGGCATCCAGGCAAAACGACGAGATAGGAGACAGGGTAGCAGGCAAGTAGGAGGGATGAGAGGAAGAAGGAGGTGGGAGAAGAAGGTGTGCAACCACAGTTGTCGATTCAAAACGAGTGCCCAACGCAGGAAGGTTGGGAACAAGTCTTTTCGTTTGTTCTTCCCCGACCATCCTGTGGAGTTGGGTTTTCGTTTTGAAGAGACGGTCCCCGCGTCTCCTTCTCTCCTTTCTTCTTCCCCCTCCTCCCTCTTCTCATCCCTGCATCGTCTTTGTTTCGGCACACCACTCACACGCTTCGTGGCCCAATGGGGAGCTCTGCCGAGGGCTTCCGTGGAGAGTTCGCATGCGGCCGCCCGACCCATGTCGGCGCCGCCCTCACACATATTGTGGCCCCATAGGGAGTTCCACCAAGGGCCTCGGATAACACGACCTGGAGAACCAGGTCGAGGGGTGGTGTTTCAATATGGGTCTCCATGTTACTATGCAACTGCCAGCGCTTGGCAGAAGAACTATAACCGCCGTCAGGCGGTGTGTGCGCTTTCAGCACTGACCGTTTATTGTAACATGGTGTTTTACCTCCGCCAAGATCGTCTTGTTAAGTTTGCAGGAGACAGGGGATCGAGGAAACGCATGGACCAAGGCGCGTGGATTAACGACGGGCCCCGCTTCCAGGCGCAAGTCGGCGCGCCCCGTCCCCCAATCGGGCGACACCGGCTTCCAGAGGGATAGTTTTTCGGCTTTTCGCCACAGGGCTTTCTTTCGCCGGTCCTGGAACCCGAGAGGCGCCGAAAGCGACGGAAGCAGATCGCCTTGACGCGGCAGGTTCGCCTCTCGTCGACGCGGCGGCGACCCCGCAGCGGGCGTTCGCCGCCAGCAGCCCGGATTCAGCCAACATGGATCGATCTGGCGGCCGAAGCGCCGCCGTTCATTCAAGGTGGAACGACCCACGCGGTGTCGGAAGCCAGCGCCTGGGTCGTGACGGCGCGAACCTGTGTCTTGGTATGGCTTCGGGCTGCGCGCCCCAAGTCGTCACGGTTGGCCTCAGCAGGCTGCCCGAGTGGCCCAGGGCACGTCTCAGCACCTCAACCCAGGGACGCGGAGCGCTTCAGGGGCGCCGCCCGAGGTGGCGCCATGATGCTGAGACCGCCCCGGCCCACACGGGGGGGGTTGTTGAAGTCAGCTGGAACTACCTGGGGGCCCTGAGGTCCGACGTTGCGAACAAAATGGCCACCTCGCATCCAGGAGCCTCTCCTTCTGCGGCGTTTTTCGAGCCAGATCGATCCGGGAAGGTCCCGGGGCCTAAGAAGCTTGGCGAAAACGCCCGGAGTGACCGAAATGGCAACGCCCAGATTTCAGGGGGGGGGCCTAGGCCTCCTAAGTGGGGTCGGAGCAGATAGGTTCGAGGATCGCGCCGCATCGGCGATGCATCGGCGATTCGGCTCGATGCGGAGCCCGATGTTTTCCACGCGGGCGTCGCCGATACACCGCCGACGCATCGCCGATGCACTGCCGATGCTGCACGGTCCTCCGACCCCATCTACTCGGACCCCATTTGCGAGGCCTCTATAGGGGAGCGTCTTTGGGCAGCCCGAAGCCTCACCACGGCTGCCGTGCGTGGCCACTGCGCTGGAGGCCCGGGGGCAGCCCCCGGTCGCTGCCTTCCCCGTCCCTCGCCTCGGAGTTGCCGCAGTTGTTCGGCGATCCTGGAGTCAGAAGGCTGCAGTGTCAAGTCGGGCCTGTCCCTCTACAGGGGGAATATCCAAAAATAATCGAACAATAGTCAGGGGACGATATTTTGAGTATGGTTGAGCTTTGTGTGCATATCATTTTACTACTTTTGATTTTTCGTCCAAAATCCGCCTGTAGGGGGACATGCCCGACATAACTGCAGTGTCCGCCCCACTTTCTGGGCTCCTTTGATGTCGGTGTCCACAATATTCTGTTGTCGCTGCGTTTGCCATGCCTTTGCGAAGGTCTGAGACTTCCGCTCTGCTTCGCACTTTGTGGGAAGCACTTCCGACACCGTCTTGAGTCGGCACGTCTACCGAAGTCCTGCGGATCCGACGTCTGGGTTCCCCAGCCCTCCGGCGAAGAGAACTATGCACATGCACCGATCTTGGCCAGGCCCATCCTGTCCCCAGGATGGGTGCATATGCCTTCCTGGCCAAGGCAGGAGGGCGTATGTACCGATCCTGGGCCCAGGCTGGGCCTGGCCAGAATCGGTGTATGTGCACAGTTCTCTTTCCTCTAGGCCCCACGGAGGAGTAAGTGGAGGAGGAGGAGGAGAAGGAGGAGGAGAAGGAGGGGGAGGAGGGGGAGGAGGGTGATGATGATGATGATGATGATGCTGCTGATGATGATGAGGAGGAGGAGGAGGAGGAGGAGGAGGAGGAGGAAAAGGACTGTTGTAAACCCAAGAAGCATCAACGATGATGGAATACGCCCTCCCCTCCGAGCTCCTTCTGCGGTAAGGCTGGCTTCACGGCGCCCGGCTACCAGCAGGGCGGCTACATGTAGGCGCAGGAGCGCAGGGCGCACCCAAACAGGAGCGGGGGAGCGGAGCGGGCTGCGGCCCGGGGGGGCTCGGGGGGGCCCAGCCCGCCTCGTCGCGCCTCGGAGCAGGCCTCGATCTCCGACGATCTTCGGGCGACCGCCAGCGTGGATCGAGGGGGGCGTGGATCAGCGACGGGCCCCGCTTCCATGGGAAATCGCGGATCCGCCGAGCGAGGCGGCACTGGCCGCATGTTGGGGAGGGCACCTCCTCCGATCCATGGATTTGGCGACCGCGCGCCAAATCCATGGATCGCTGATCGATGTTTGCGCGCCCCTGAGATACGGCGATCGTTTTTCTTAGTCGTTGTTTTGCCGATCGGCGCGGGCCCTCGCAGAGCTTGGCTGTTTTTCTGGCGCCTGTTTCGAGCAGGTGGGGTCTGTCCCACGGGACGCACTGCTGCAGACAGGCGGACCGCACCGAGCAGAGGTCCAGAGCCAGACCGCCCCCCTCCCCCCCCCTCCGCCCAAGGTCGAAACGCCGAATCAGAAAACGTTAACATGTTTTCTCAATCCGAGCGTGCTGTCTCGATTGGGCCTGTCGCCGGGCGGGACCATCATGAGTGGATTTTCAGCGACCACTTCCCCCCAGGGTCGACGATACGTAAGAGTGACCCTTCGCCAGAGTGGCCTTTGGCGTGAGCCCACCGGGATCCTCCGATCGCCGCACGCGATGCAGCAGTGGCGTCTTGCGCGCCTGTGTTTGATCCCCCTGGCCCCCCAAAAGCCGCTCACCAAAGGTCACTCTTAACCCAGGGTCCCCAGACCCCCGACGTCGTGATTTGTTCACAACGTCGAGCCCCAGAGGCTGGACCCTTTCCCCGTGACCGGTGTTTCATCCCGAGTCGTTTTTTGACGGTCCTGGGGCCCGTGAAGGGCACCCGGAGGCCGACAATAGCGAACAATCTCCCGCCGTGATTTTTTCGCAACGCGAGGGGGCCTGGGTCTTGCGTGTAGCCGGCAGGAGCGGATTTGCAGCGCCCCCTGCCGCCCCCCAGGGATCAGTGGCTCGGGACCTCCTCTGGGGCCGCGGGTTGGCACGAGCGGGACCCGGCGGATGTCGGGACAAAATCGCGGCGGGAGGTGGGCGGCCGTGCAGAGCTCGATCTGTAAGCGGTGCTCTTGCGATGCCGTGCACCGTTTTCGCTTTGGCTTCGTTTTTGCAGCGAGGGCGGAGCGAGGAGAGGACGAGGGAACACGAAAAAACAGCACGAAAACGAAACACACTGTTTGGTCGAGCCCAGCCTTTGGGGGCCCTCACCCGGCAGGGGGACAGGCCGAGAAGGAGCTGGGCGAGCCGGTCCAGGGGAAGGGGTGTGAGAGCTCCGGGGGTCCACGTGGTGAAGAGTCACCACGCCAGGGTCGGGGGATCACGCCACACCGCCGATGCATCGGCGATGCATGGGCGATGCATCGGCGGTGCACGCGGAGCCTAATGTTCTCCAACCCGGCGTCGCTGATGCATCGGCCATGCGGTGCGATCCTCCGACCGCATTTGCAGCAAGACCTCAGGTTGGGGACTGCCCGCTGACTCAAGGCACCCTTGCATCATTCGGCTCTGGACATTCTTGGCAGGGTTTCTGCTTCATTTTTCCAGGGACAACACTGCGCGCGCATCCTCGGCGTTCCAAGAGCCTCGAATCCTTAATCTCCTTGGGCGTTGATAAAGGTGCCCCTGGCCCAAGGTGCCCCCAGGATTTCCGAGGAGGCCCCCACGGCCTCACGAGGCCCAGAGGGCCCCAGGGGCTCCAGAACGGAGTGAAAAGCTGGGAGGCATCTTGGCCCAGAGGCACCTTTAGCAACCCCCGATCTCCATCCTCATGATGCGTTTCGACTGCACTCCGACCCCTTCTTTCACCGAGCGCGTTCCACTACTCGCGAAGTGCCTACTCGCAAACGTCCGAAAGACACATGTCTGCTTTGGTGTAATTTATCGTAGATCCCCGTCCGGGGATCCAGGCCATTTGCGAGTAATTACTTTGCGAGTAGTGGAACGCTCTCGTCTATTCTTGGGCGGCCTCCGAGGAGGCAGGCCAGTCACAGCACGGGGAATGCCGTGGTGACGGGCCTCGCGCGCGCGCCGGCCCAGGGGCCCGCGAGGGCGTGGGAGTGCGCGTGCCTCCGAGGCGCGGGCGCTGGGGCCGCCTGGCACGGGACCCGTGGTCTCGGGCTCCCGCACAGGGTGTGTGTGTGTGTGTGTGTGTGTGCCCCGGGTGAGTATGTGTCTGTGTGTGTGCGAGTTCGATCGGTTTTTGCACCGAACCGCCCAAAACAGATGCTGTGTGTGAAGACAAGACCGCTCCCCTCCTCCTTCTATCTACCCATCTATTCTGCTATCCTCTCGGCTTAGTTATTGGATTGAACATTGTGCCCGACGTTCGTCGGGCCGTGAGAGGAAAAGAACGTTTTGTCTCCCTCACCTTGTCCTCTACCTACGGGCCCTACGGTAGGTTCGACCCTTTGGTTGTCAACCTCCGTTCGCAGATGCCCCCCCAGCCACCGGCAGCACCCGATAGTTGCCGATGGCTGGGGGGCATGCGGAAGGCACCTATTTTCGGCAGTTCGGTGCACCAGCGGGTCGAACTCATGCCCCCCCTCTCACGGTCACCCCCCCTTTGGCGGATCCCGATTGTCTGCGCGCCAAGTTTGGGGGCGTCGATGGGGGGGTACAGGCTCAGGGTCGGCGGCGAGCGAGGCGGGGAAGTGAGAAGGAGAAGGCCTTTTCAGAAGGCGGCGGGACTTCTCAGAAGCCCTCGCGTCTTCTGAGAAGTTGTCTGTGTCTTCGGGGAAGGCCCAAATAACTTTTTCAGAAGGCCGGGAGACTTTCGAGCCTTATGAAAAGGCCCACCCCTTCTCGCTTCCCCCTTCTCGGTCGCCGCCGACGGGGGGGGTGATACTTTCGGACCGAGTTGAGGCTCGAGGTTTTCGGGCGGTTTCGTCCGTTCCTGTAGGTTTCCCTGCTTCGGGATACCTTCTGGCAGCTGCGCCTCGCCGAGGGCGGCTCTGGGGTGCCCAAATCGTCCCGAATGACCGCGAGAGGCTCGAGGTCTGACCCGAGCGAAAGCCAAGATGGGCCCGGGGGGGGACGCATCGGCCCCCAATCGCCCACTGATGGCCGAGATGGGCCCGACAGCTCACCCCGTCCGGGAGCGTGCGGGCGGGGTCGCTTTCGTGGGCCTATCGCCGATCCAACGGCGACGTATCCCAGGAGATTTGTGTTGTATCCTCGGGCGATGTAAACTGTCCCCCCCCCCGCGGGTATTGGTAGCGATCGTACGCGGGGGGCGGGGCTGAGCTGGGCAGCTCCAGAATGCATGGGTATGGCGGGCGTTCGGCCTCAAAGGGTTTGTAAAGAATCCGCTCTCTTTCCGACCCAGCAGTTTCGCTCCTCCGCACCTTCCCTCTTCTATGCTCCTCCTCCCTCCTCCTCCTCCTCCTCCTCCTCCTCCTCCTCCTCCTCCTCCTCCTCCCCCTTCCCCTCCTATGCCCCTCCGGTGAGGCCTGGCACTTGTTGTCATGGTGTCAGTGCCGAGCACCCTCGGGGCACATTGTACACGGCACTTATTTCGCGGGTTGGGCGGGGCGCAACCGGCCGAATTATTCTGGAACCGTGGGCTCTGGGGCTTGGGGTGGACGTTGCAAAACCTGTATCGACGGGTCTCCCGTCGTTGGGTGTAGCACGGCCCAGTCTCAGCTTGGCCCTGCTGGTGAAGGCGGGTAGCGGCGCTTGTGCGGTCATTTCATTGTGATCTGACCCTCAGGGATCGGCATTTTTTGGGGAGGCGGTGGCTGGTGCCACGTGAGTCACAAGGGGCCTTGTGCCCGCCCAGGGCTGGGGAGCTTGTGTTCCTCAGTATGCCGTGCCAGCTGTTCCGGCTGGGATGCCTTTGGCCCCCAACGCACAATGTCGGATCCGCCGGGCCGCGAGTCTCCACAGGCGACGTGGTCACCCCCTATGCCCTTCCTGCGCAGCTGTTGCTGCCTTCTGGGCGGTAGTTCGTTGGCTGGGCGTGTGCAATGCACGGGCGGCCTTCGGGAGACCGACCCTGGGCGCCTGACTCCTTCCCCTCCTCTTCAATCTCCTCGCCATTATCCTCGCCCCCCCGAGGCGGGAAGGAAAACATACAAGGCCAAAAGACTCAAGCACCGATGGCTGAGCATCAAAAAGAACACCAGGAACACAATACCACATAATTGAAAGACCGACGGCTGTGACACCAAGCAACCACAAGGGAAACTAATGGTGACGCTGTTCGTTTGTTCTTTGGGCCCCCCACATCCTTAGTGGGCTTCTTGTTTTTCTGTGGGTTCCCCGCGCAGCAAAACGAATGCCCCCAGACCATCATCGTCGGCACCATCACACCATCATCGACCCATAATCATCATTATCACCATCGTCAGAATCGCACGCAGCCGCGCGTTCACCCATCAACTAACTCATGTGTGTGTCACTGGAACACGTCGTCGTCATCATCATCACAAGTATGTTCACCATCGTCGTCATCACTACCATCATTACCACGATCGCCATCATCACCATCATTAACATCACCAACAACACAATTTCACCACTGTCATCACTCTCTCGGCGTTCTCCTCATCTCCCTTGCATCATCATCATCGCACACACATGTGCTCGTCTTGAAAAGACGCAGGTGGGAGCCTCGTCCGTGAAGGAATTCTTGACGCTTCGCGTATCCCCACCAGCCCACCCAGTAACGATGCCCAAGCGAATGGAAGTGATCAGGGAAGTCAGGGAGCATACAGAGTAACACAGGGGTTGGGGAACCGGCTTACCCAAGACGGCGAGGATGGAGGAGGAATCGGAGGAGGAGGAGGAGGAGGAGGAGGAACTGAAGGATGAGGAGGAGGAGGGGGAGCGGGAGGAGGGAGGAGGGAGGAGGAGCAATAGGCGGATGAGGGGGAGGAGGAGGAGCAGGACGAGAATGAGGAGGAGGATGAGGAGA